TGCTAATTCCTTGTATTTTAATGTTTGCAATGCCAATAAAGGTTTGAATTTTGGTAAGAGTCCAAAAAAGTCAGGAAATTAAGCACTATAAACTTTTATCTGAATCGCTGAAGGAAGGAAGCTTAAAGGGACATTAAATGACTACTTATCTGTAGGAGTATTACAGACGTTTGATAGTAATATGTAGCTACTTATGTTCTGTTTGGCTTTAACATTAATCCATGAAAACTTTTAACTCAGGAAACGTGTATTAGGTGCTATGGAATTTTTAGTTATTTTTCTATAGAATGTAACTAACTTTATCTTATGGAATTCATAATATAAAATCCTGTGTTAGATTCTAAAGAAAATTCTGTTATACTCTACCACATACTGCACCATTCTTTAAATTACATATTACAAGCTAATGTTAAAGACAACAAAAGTAAAACACAAAAACACTAAATGTATTTAACATCACAGTAAAAAAACAACGTGGGACCTAAACTCCTTAAGTTTTCGTTTACACTTAGAATAAAGCATAAAACAACATTTGTAAAATTAGGGCTAGAATTTTACATCAAAATATCAATTACCGTCTGTCTGCAGATAGGGCAGTGTATTGCACCTAGCCATGATCCGCACCTCCAATATGCAATAATGCAGGAACCTAAAGAAAATAATGTATTAAGTTCTTAAATTCTAAATACCTGAATGTAAGTCACTAAACAAACAGCTGTTCACCAAAGCTGATGAACTATTTAAAATTATGCACCAGTTTAAGATGTTGAATCTCCAACGAGAGCAAAGAATTCAGAATCATTTACAAACAGCACTGAAATATGCATTAACTGAATTCTTTGCCCAAATACTAACAATCCCTACATCTACTCATGAAACTTGTATTATAAGAGTTGCTGCAAATCTAGTCCAAATTAATACATTTCATGAGTTACCATAAAGCCAACAGAAGTTAAAGGTATAAATGGACAAAAAAAAATGCTATGTAACAGCTATCCATGTTATATATTTTAAAAGGCATGATTGACTGATATATATGAAACATCTAATATCAACAAGAGAAAATCAGCTGAAATAACTGAAAAGGAGTTCTTCACTTCTGTAAGACCAATCCATTTGCAAAGACAGCACTGCTTTGCATATTTCCTCAACAACTCTTACCATTTCAGGGAATATAAGAAATTATTCAGATTTTTTTTTCTTTTTACATACCACAGAAAAGATGTCCACAGTTTGTTTCAATGGGAAATGAAGCCTGTTGTAAACACACCGGGCAGGACATATCAGTATAGAAACGTTGTCTGTCACCAACTATATTTTCCTGGAAAAAAATGAGAAATATAATCAACTCCAGCAGACAAATTATTTTATCTGCAACAAGCTGCAAAATAGTCAGACCTGCATAATTAGAAGAAAGAAATCTCAGATTGGTATATTTTCTTTCTTATAAATGATAGAGGAGGAGTGAATACGACCATACAGTGGTATCTCACAGATGTATGAGAGCTTATTTCCAACAGATACTTGGATAAAATGAGATCTCGTTTTGACATTTCTTAGAGCCTTTCTCTTTGGGTTGCCCTTTGATAACCAGGATTAAGAGAGAGATAATAGGTTTATTTACATTTATCTGTTTCAATTCAGAGTAGCCACAGCATGCTTTTACAGCACAAAGGATCCCGGTTTTTGACTTGTGGTTAAAGTTTCAGGGCCGTATGGAGCCCCTAAAGCTTTAGGCACGGCTACTCAACCTCAGTACATTCCCCAAATATGTAAAATTATTTATTAATAGTATTAAATACCTGGGAAATAAGCATATTAATTTTCTGTAATTTCTTCAATTAATATTAAATTTACATGAAAATAAAATGAAAACAATATTTTTTTCTGGCATCACTTGTTGACTGGTCTAGCCCTGCCGATTTGGGGGAATGCAGATCTCCATATGCCAAATGACGGCTGCAGGCCCCAAAAATGTAGACCCCAAGTGAAAGGATCTCAGCTCTTGGACCTGAGAAAGCACTGGGACTGTTTACCTCCAGATCAGAGTAAAAAGAGATGAACTACCTCAGTGTTTTTCAAATTTGGCTGGGGAATTCTGGGAGTTGAAGTCCACATATCTTAAAGTTGCCAAGTTTGAAAAACAGTGAGCTATAGATGGATCCACACAAAACAATTTCATTTGTTTCTTATGTACATTCTGCCAAATTCTGGAGAGCAAGCAAATATTATGACATTGTTACAAACTTCAGCAGTTCTAGTAAATTAATGGGAACTGGCATAAATGTTTGCTTTTTAGAGCAGTTATTAGTTTTTTGTTTTAAATCCTATCATCAGTGTGAAAACACATTGCAACAGGTTTCTTCTCAGTACGCTTCACCCACACCTTCAAAGCTTTTCCTGTTCAGACAGGAATGCTGGGCAGAAAACCTCCTATCTGCACAACGGACAAATGTCTTGTTTTCTTCTTCCTTCTTCTTTCCCCTTTCTTCCATAGAATACAATGCATATAGTATAGGTAAAGTCAGTAGCTTAAAATTACATTAATATAAAAGTTAATATAATTAATATAAAAATCATTACTAGCTTGGGCTCTTGTTCCTTTTTCGCCAGCCACTAGTGTTAAAATCTCATGTCCAAAAAGCTTTTGCCTACTGCAGACATCATCGACTGGTGCGATATCCTTGTTGTGATCATAACAGGGATGCATACATTTGCATGAATTATAACATGGCTGCATAAATTATAACACGGGTACCAACAATCAATAACCTTAACCCAAATCTTAACCCATTTGGACAGGGAAAAAGTGCGAGACAGCTGAAGTAAGCAGATGTAGTCAATTAGTGTGCAAAACTCATTTGTGGGCAAAAAAGGAACAAGAGCCCTAAATTGTGTCCCACTGGTTTTAATGGGTTAATCCTGAGTAGATCTGGATTTCTACTATTTTCCCTTTTCTGCTGCTTCTTTCTTTAATAAATATTTTAAATATATATTCCTGCAAACTCTGCTGACAACTCCTACCTGCATGTGTATAGAGTGCTTTATGTACAAAAGTATCAATGCCTATCTTTGATATGATATATTATAGTCAAATACATTTTTAGCACAAGAAACTAAGGTAGCTAAGCCCCAGCAAGCTCAAACGTATCTATATTTGGTGATTATGTGAGAAATTTTTTTAGATATAATTGACATATCAAAAAGAATACAATCAAGCAGAATTACATATATACCTGTTCTGACTGTATTTGTTGTCTAACTGCCCTCACTAGTTCTTGGTTCTCTGGATGAATATCTGGGTGCCCATCTCTGTTAAGAGAAGAAATACTACTAATAAAACATTTCAAAAATGGAATCAGACAGAATATTAGTTCATCGTGTTCAGAGTTCTAAAGGACTCTAGTTCTTTGCATGATAAGGATTTAGCTATATAAATGCATTGTCACTTTTATCTTAAGCACAATAAGTTACTAAAACTTGTACTGTTTTAGTATATTTGTTTTGCACCTCGATTAATACTATTTTTGAAGATTTTGTTCGTCTGATGTTACTTTAAGCAGCTACTATGTTGCTTGACCAACAAAATCT